TAATTCCTGATCCTCAAATTATTCCCCAGTCCCTTCAAAAAATGGGCCACAGCAACCAGAAGTCAAACCAAACATTAAGAATTTGTCTCTCACTTAATGCATGTATGTCTGAAATAAATATACACCATAAAGATGCTTGTCTGGAGTTGCCAGGCAGGAGGGGAGCATTTGATGATAACACTGCACACTTGGTGGATGGTAGTCAATGCAAACCAACTCTACAGTTACTTCAGAGCAACAATTCTTCCCCATTAAACAACTATCATCCACCAAGTCACCCAGGCAGCCTTTACATTTCTGTAAAGTGGTCCTCTCATTTCACACACATTGCTCGAGTCATCGCCATTTGTGTGGGGGAAATTCTAAACGTTTTTCAAAAAGCAAAGAAGCAAGAGCTGGCAAACTGCTGTCCTTATTTTCGGGGGATACCAAAAAGAATCCTCCTCACTTACATGTCATTATGCAAAAGGTACAACGCGAGGAGCTGGGCGTAGACGGGCGGCGTCGCGATCCCTCCTGGAGCCTGGCAGGGAGGAAACGAGGGGATCTGTTTACATCCTGACGCCACAGAGAGCCAGGAAACCCGCGCTGCAATCCCACCCCTCGCCGACGCACACAGCGCCAGGCTTCTTCCACATGCTCTCCACATACAGCTGCCTGAACTGGAGAGAGGAGCCCCGAGGAAGCGCGGCCACTCAGGGCGAGCGCCAACAGAGACGCGAGTCGGTCCGGTGCGCACGAGACGAGAAAGTCACGCGTCCGCCTCCCCTGTCCCCTTCCCCCCATGCCGGCACCTCCAGCTCCTGCGTCTCGCACTGCTCCAGCAGCTTCCGATGTGCGTGGGCACTGCTCCCCCCCGCCGCCGCCATCACCGCCACCGGCATCTTCTTCGCCTCCCTCTCGCCTCCCGAACGAGGCAGGGGGCTCGGACGCCGCTTCCGGCGCGCGGGTGACGCGATTCCGGCGCGCTGGGACTGCTGAGTCATAGAGAGGGGCGCGGGGCGCTCCCAGAGAGGCTCTGGCGACCTCTAGTGGCGTGGAGGGCGTGTCCTTCGACGCCGACGCCCCTGCAGTGTGGTCCAGGGCAGGATCCTGACTCTGAGATGTTGCGCCCTGACGCACTCGCCCACAAGCGCTCGGTCTTCTCCCTCCCTCAATACATAAAATGTAAAACAAGACGAACAACGGATTTTTATGGCAGAATTCAGCAAATATCTAAATGTAAAAGGAGATAGATCAAGATGGGGGGTAGCCGTGTTAGTCTGCTTGTAGCAGTAAGAAGATCAAGAGTCCCGGTAGCACCTTAAGTAGAGGTAAAGGTTCCCTTGCTCGAAAGCCAGTCGAGTCGGACTCTAGGGCAATGTTCCCTCTAAGCTGTGGAGTCTTGTGTGCAAAAATTCTACATTCCGAGCTACTGGCATTAAAGTTGTGAGCAGGCGATTTGTCTGCTGCATAAATTAGCTTGCTCTGGAGCCATCCCTTCCTGAGCTAAGGCAAAAATGTGTGAGCCGGAGGCTAAAAAACTCTGAGCTAGCTCACACTAACTCAGCTTAGAGGGAACACTGCTCTAGGGTTGCGGTGCTCATCTCTGTTTCAAAGCTGAAGAGCCAGCATGACTAAACACCAAGGCGCATGGAACGCTGTTACCTTCCCACCGAAGTGGTACCTATTTATCTACTTGCAATTTCTTGCTTTCGAACTGCTAGGTTGGCAGGAGCTGGAGCCAGAGACGGGAGCTCACTCCGTCATGTGGCACACTCGGGTCTCGAACTGCTGAACTACTGACCTTCGACAGCCTGCAGTTCAGCATCTTAACCACTTGAGCCACCGCAGCTCCGGTAGCACCTTAAAGATGCACAAAATATGTGGCAGGGGAGGAGCTTTCATCAGTCAGGGTATAGGAAGAAGTGGAGCAGTGACTCAGGAAAGCTCCCTACCCTACCACAAAATTTGTTAGTCTTTAAGGTGCTGCTAGACTCTTGCTCTTTTCTACTTAATATAAAAGATTATCGTTAAAAATGATTAAAAGCCCTTAATAACAAAGGGTCACTTTTACAGAGGGAATGAGATTGTTTGGCGACTCCAGCTGTAGTTATATTGTAGGGTTTATATTGCATATATGCTGTTATCTTACTGTGGGGCCTGGGGATCCCCTAGAATTACAGCTGGTCTCTAGGCTACAGAGATCACTTCCCCTGGAGAGAATGGAGGCTTTGGAGGGTGGACTCTGGAGCATGGCAGCCCACTGAGGTCCCAGGCACTACCCAGAAATCTCCAGGAATTTCCCAACTTGGATCTGGCAACCCAATCCCCCATTCCCCACTGGTAGCGGTGTGGGGGGGTATTTCCTGGCAACCTTACTTACTACCAGGATCGTCAACCTCCAGATGGTGGCTGGAGAACTCCTGCTATTGTAATTGTGGCAGGGGAGGAGCTTTCATCAGTCAGGGTATAGGAAGAAGTGGAGCAGTGACTCAGGAAAGCTCCCTACCCTACCACAAAATTTGTTAGTCTTTAAGGTGCTGCTAGACTCTTGCTCTTTTCTGCTTAATATAAAAGATTATCCTTAAAAATGATTAAAAGCCCTTATAACAAAGGGTCCCTTTTACAGAGGGAATAAGATTGTTTGGCAACTCCAGCTGTAGTTATATTGTAGGGTTTATATTGCATATATGGTGTTATCTTACTGCCGGCCTCCAGGTGGGGCCTGGGGAT